CTCTGTTCCTGCAGCCCATGTCCATGAGGGTGCAGGCCACTGCTCTGTTCCTGCAGCCCGTGTCCATGAGGGTGCAGGCCACTGCTCTGTTCCTGCAGCCCTTCTTCATGAGGGTGCAGGCCACTGCTCTGTTCCTGCAGCCCATGTCCATGAGGGTGCAGGCCACTGCTCTGTTCCTGCAGCCCGTGTCCATGAGGGTGCAGGCCACTGCTCTGCTCCTGCAGCCCGTGTCCCTGTCCCCATGTCCCTGTCCCTCTCCAAGCTCTGTGTCCCTCACAGCTGTGTGACAAGGCCACAGTGTCCCTGTCCCTCTCCAGGTTCTGTCCCCTCTGTCACTGCCCTGTCCCTCACAGCCCTGTCCCGTGTCCCTGTGACACTGTGACAAGGCTGTGGTGTCCCTGTCCCCCTCCAGACTGTCCCTCACTGCCCTGTCCCGTGTCCCTGTGACACTGTGTGACAAGGCTGTGGTGTCCCTGTCCCCCTCCAGACTGTCCCTCACTGCCCTGTCCCGTGTCCCCATGGCACTGTGACAAGGCTGTGGTGTCCCTGTCCCCCTCCAGACTGTCCCCTGTGTCCCCATGGCACTGTGACAAGGCTGTGCTGTCCCTGTCCCTCTCCAGGCTGTCCCTGTCCCTCACAGCCCTGTCTCATGATGTCCCAACCCCATGTCCCTGTGTCCCTGTGTCTCAGTGCCCGTCTCCAGGCTGTCCCCACCTCACGTCCCCATGTCCCCCGTGTCTCAAGAGTCCCTCCAGGCTGTCCCCCCACCTCACCCCCGTGTCCCCAACCCTCTCACAGGCTGTCCCCATCCCTCAGTGCCCTGTCCCCAGGCTGTCCCCATCCCTCCCACCCTCATGTCCTCATGTCCCCCCGTGTCTCAGCGTCCCTCCAGGCTGTCCCTGTCCCTCCCACCCCCAAGTCCCCATGTGTCCCCTCATCTCAGCACCTCTGCAGGGTGTCCCCACCCCATGTCCCCGTGTCCCAGTGTCTCAGCATCCCTCCAAGCTGTCCCCACCCCATGTCCCCACGTCCCCACCCCATGTCCCCATGTCCCAGTGCCTCAGCGTCCCTCCAGGCTGTCCCCACCCCATGTCCCAGTGCCTCAGCGTCCCTCCAGGCTCTTGTCGCGGGCGATCACGGCCTCGTCGAACTTGATCATGAGCGTGGTGCCCTTGTGCCAGTGGGCGCTGACGCGGGCGGGGAAGCCGGCGGCGCCCAGCACGGCCTCCAGCAGCCCGGCGGCGAAGGCGGCGCAGTTCAGCGAGCTGTTCTCGCGCGGCACCGACACGAACGTGTTCACCACGGGCTCCCTCTCGATCACGTAGAACGTGCGCTCGTCGTCGTTGGCCTGCTCCAGCTTGTCGGCCTCGCGCCCGAACAGCGCCCGCCACAGCGGGCCCTTGACGAAGAGCAGCACCCCCAGCACCTTGGTCTCGCGCCGGCCCGGCCGCTCGCGGGCCACCAGCGCGTCCAGGGCCCGCTGCCCCACGTGGTGGCCCAGCTGGGCCAGGCGGGCCTGCAGCTCGGCCACCGAGGCCACGCGGCGCTGGCAGTACTGCACCAGCTCCGAGAAGAGCAGCGCGAAGGCGGCCAGCGACAGCTCGGAGCGCGGCCGGCCCAGCGCCCGCTCCAGCACCGGCGACTTGCCGCGCGTGAAACGCGAGTCCATGGCGGCCTGCGGGAGAGACGGGGGTCAGGGCGGGCCTGGAGAGGGGTCTGAGGGGGTTTAGGGTCGGTCTGAGGGGGTTTAGGGAGGGTCTGAGGGGGTTTAGGGAGGGTCTGAGGGGGTTTGGGGAGGGTTTGGGGAGGTTTAGGGCAGGTCTGAGGGGGCTTCGAAGGGGTTCAGAGAGGGATTGAAGGCATTGAGGGGGGGCTAGGCAGGGTTAGAGGGGCTCTGAGGGGGTTTAAAGAGGGTCTGAGGTGGTTTAGGGAGGGTCTGACTTGTGCCAGTGGGCGCTGACGCGGGCGGGGAAGCCGGCGGCGCCCAGCACGGCCTCCAGCAGCCCGGCGGCGAAGGCGGCGCAGTTCAGCGAGCTGTTCTCGCGCGGCACCGACACGAACGTGTTCACCACGGGCTCCCTCTCGATCACGTAGAACGTGCGCTCGTCGTCGTTGGCCTGCTCCAGCTTGTCGGCCTCGCGCCCGAACAGCGCCCGCCACAGCGGGCCCTTGACGAAGAGCAGCACCCCCAGCACCTTGGTCTCGCGCCGGCCCGGCCGCTCGCGGGCCACCAGCGCGTCCAGGGCCCGCTGCCCCACGTGGTGGCCCAGCTGGGCCAGGCGGGCCTGCAGCTCGGCCACCGAGGCCACGCGGCGCTGGCAGTACTGCACCAGCTCCGAGAAGAGCAGCGCGAAGGCGGCCAGCGACAGCTCGGAGCGCGGCCGGCCCAGCGCCCGCTCCAGCACCGGCGACTTGCCGCGCGTGAAACGCGAGTCCATGGCGGCCTGCGGGAGAGACGGGGGTCAGGGCGGGCCTGGAGAGGGGTCTGAGGGGGTTTAGGGTCGGGGGGGGTCTCAAGGGCTTTAGTGGGGCTCTGAGGGGGTCAGGGAGGATCTGAGGGGGCTTAAGTCGGGTCTGAGGGGCCGGATGGGGCCGGGGGAGATCCCGAGGGGCCGCTGGGGGGGTCTTTGAGGGGTCCCGGGCTGTTTGGGGGGCTCTGATCTGAGGGGTCCCGGGCTGTTTGGGGGTCTCTGAGGGTCCCGAGTATCTCTAGGGGTCTCTGAGGGTCCCGGGTGTCTCTCGGGGGTCTCTGAGGGGTCCCGGGCTGTTTGGGGGTCTCTGAGGGTCCCGAGTATCTCTAGGGGTCTCTGAGGGTCCCGGGTGTCTCTCGGGGGGTCTCTGAGGGTCTCGGGTGTCTCTCGGGGTCTCTGAGGGTCCTGGGTATC